TATATATATATATGTAGTGGCAGTAATTTGGGTATTACTTATGAGAATTTGTGAATTATTAAAATTCATAAATTCATTTCCTCATGGAGCACCACTTCTCGTTTTTTTGTTATTATTACACAGTAAAGAGAAGAGAAAACTGTTAGCTTTATTATATTTCAGTCTCAATTAATTTCTTACCCAAATTAATAATGAGTTTTTTTCTTAGAAAAAAATCAATAATACCTTATCAAGACACAGAAAATTAGACGTTGTCTCATGTTGAGCAGTTCTCCATGGGTCATTTATTCACAGATTAAAATGTATTTACAGCTATGGCAAGACATGGAATAATGACATACTGAACCAGATAAATACTGAAATAGTTTGGAGCAATAAGTGAATAACAAACAAAGACAGACAAACAAGTAGACACTAAAGGGGCTTTTTGAGGCTGGAATGAGGGAAGGTTTGCTTTATCTGAGAATTTAAGGGATCCTAGTTAAATTATTTAAACTAAGGGAACGCGGTAAAGTTTATAGTTTAGAATTTATCAAATCTTCTACGAAAGATAAGGATCAACTTAATTGAGCACATTTAATTTATCACCAGCAAAATGTTAGTGTCCATACCCTTTTTCCTGCTGAATTAGGTACCAGAGTGAAATTATCAGCTGCTGAACTCCAGTCGTGGTCCCAGGGAACTACTTCAGTAAAGCTGGTTGCCAGACAACAGGGGGTGTCTGGGTTACTTCTGGTCCTGCAGTCAGGCGGTAGGGGCAGCTGGAGAATGGACAGGCGGTGCCGTCTTCAAGATGCTTCAGAGTGGAGGAGTTGGTCCAGAACTTCATAGAGAAAACGGGCTAAACGACGCATGAATTAAAATGAACTGATTTAACTTCTATAAAAATTCAAGCTCTTGCTGAGCCGACAAGGTAACATTAAAATTAGTTTCTAACGAAACGACATTAAACTCTGATGAGGAATCCAGCGAGAGATGCAGAAGTACCACAGTCTTGCCCAGCCCATGGGGGAAGGGCTGGTAGCAGGGCCTCTGCTGAGCTTCTGAAAACTGACATTAACTTTAACAAAAATCTGATGCTGGAATCTGACTGCTTTGGGAGCTGCACTAACTTTTTAAAAACTCTGTTTGGGGCAGAGTTAAGGTTTGAATGATCCAATTAGAATGCTACACGGTATCGCTAAAAAGTTTTTAACAAATCAGATCCGTTGGAGGAAAAGCTTTACTTCGAGACAAAGAATAAGAAGTGAGAGTTTAGTTATCTTGCATTTACCTAAAAAGGAAAAAGATGAGACATCTGGTTTTTGCCTCAGGGATAAAATTGTCACAGTTAATTGTTAAAATTCAAGTCCTAAGTTTCTAAGGATTAAACACATATTAATGAACAAAACACACATTCTTAGATCAAGAAATTAAAAACTTATTATTCACACAGCTGTTCTGCTGAACAGTTAATTAAGCTAGACTAGTGGATCTTCAGGCTGGCCTTTTCTTTCTGTAAGAGGACAGACTACAATCACATTTATTTAATTAAGACATATGGAAACTGAATTAAAATACACAGAAAACATTAATTTACAGTGGGGAAAATAAGTATTTAGTCAGTCACCAATTGTGCAAGTTCTCCCACTTAAAAAGATGAGAGAGGCCTGTAATTGACATC